TTATAAAGGGCTTGGCATTTTCTGGTTTCAATATTATTGTAATCCCACTTGTAAAAGCCAGACTATATTTTCCATGCTGGTATTTCAACCTATAAAAGTTTTTTTACGGAAAACAAAAGTAGAAAGGGTGTTTTTGTTTTACACACACATTTTTAGTTTGTTTCGATATAAGAATTTGAATACTAGTTTGTAAAAGCATCATTTTTAAGAGTGGATGCTTGGAACTTGGGGTGTTTGTATGTGTTGGGTCCATCTAGAGAGGTGCCTTGATGCTGGTGAAATGCTTTTGTCTCAGGATTTGGAGTTACACACCCTTTCCTTAGCTCAAACCTTCCCTTTAGCACTCCTCACTGCCCTCACTATCTCTGGTGACCTTTTTCACACTCACAGGTCTCTGTTCTGGAATATTACATCTTTAGTACTTCCTACCATTCAGTGCTGTATGACCCTTGTGGGTTTAGTGCTTAGTTCTGATTGTAATAATAACAGATCAAACCTAATTACCATCCATTCCCCAGATGCTATATGACCCCTAATGGTTTATCTCTTCCTGTGAATTTATAAATGTATGTTGGGACTTCCTGTACATTCAAGAGTGTTGCTGGTCACGTCACCTGATTGGTACATTAAGGCTATGAGATAAAATATCATCAAAACACAAATTCTTGAAAATATGAGATTTTAACATGAATTAGCAAAGTTTATTTAGGTTAAGACATGTAATCATTTCCTTCTGTATAAATTAGTAAATGTGAAAAGAAGAAAACTTTACATATCTTCTTTTTTGGGTCACCCTGCCACTGGTAATTATAAGATTTAAATAAATCTTTGACTCAGACTTAAAAAGCATCAGCATATACACAACATCTAACCAAACCATTAAGACCAACAAATACTGTGCAAAATAAATATTACCTGATGGCCCTCATCGCCATATAGTAATTGTTGTACAAGCATCTTAGCTCAACCTCTTCCTCCGGAGGGAGGGGTTTGCGCTCAGGAATACGGAACATTTTGCTCTTAGCTACAGGAACCCATCGTGGTTTTATCCACCTGAAATTACAAAATAGTTTTGGTTAGTCAACATGTAGGCAGGGCTGGATTAAGGCATTAGGGGCTGCAGCCCAGGGACCTCTGTCAGGTGGAGGGCCTCCAGAGATTAAGTGGAACATATTCACAGTTACTGGTGTAAGTATATAATTATAGTATGTACGTTATTACATCACATATATGATGAACTGTTGGCTGTTGTGGTTAATTTTTTTTTCCTATTAAAAATATCACTGGGGGCCCTCACAGTGCCTGTAGCCCAGGGGCCTCACAGTACCTGCCAGTAGCCCAGGGGCCTCACAGTACCTGTCAGTAGCCCAGGGGCCTCACAGTACCTGCCAGTAGCCCAGGGGCCTCACAGTACCTGTCAGTAGCCCAGGGGCCTCACAGTACCTGTCAGTAGCCCAGGGGCCTCACAGTACCTACCAGTAGCCCAAGGGCCTCACAGTACCTGCCAATAGCCCAGGGGCCTCACAGTACCTGCCAGTAGCCCAGGGGCCTCACAGTACCTGCCAGTAGCCCAGGGGCCTCACAGTACATGTCAGTAGCCCAGGGGCCTCACAGTACCTGCCAGTAGCCCAGGGGCCTCACAGTACCTGCCAGTAGCCCAGGGGCCTCACAGTATCTGCCAGTAGCCCAGGGGCCTCACAGTACCTGTCAGTAGCCCAGGGGCCTCACAGTACCTGTCAGTAGCCCAGGGGCCTCACAGTACCTACCAGTAGCCCAAGGGCCTCACAGTACCTGCCAATAGCCCAGGGGCCTCACAGTACCTGCCAGTAGCCCAGGGGCCTCACAGTACCTGCCAGTAGCCCAGGGGCCTCACAGTACATGTCAGTAGCCCAGGGGCCTCACAGTACCTGCCAGTAGCCCAGGGGCCTCACAGTACCTGCCAGTAGCCCAGGGGCCTCACAGTATCTGCCAGTAGCCCAGGGGCCTCACAGTACCTGTCAGTAGCCCAGGGGCCTCACAGTACCTGCCAGTAGCCCAGGGGCCTCACAGTACCTGTCAGTAGCCCAGGGGCCTCACAGTACCTGCCAGTAGCCCAGGGGCCTCACAGTACCTGCCAGTAGCCAGGGGCCTCACAGTACCTGTCAGTAGCCCGGGGCCTCACAGTACCTGCCAGTAGCCCAGGGACCTCACAGTACCTGCCAGTAGCCCAGGGGCCTCACAGTACCTGCCAGTAGCCCAGGGCCTCACAGTACCTGCCAGTAGTCCAGGGGCCTCACAGTACCTGCCAGTAGCCCAGGGGCCTCACAGTACCTGTCAGTAGCCCAGGGGCCTCACAGTACCTGCCAGTAGTCCAGGGGCCTCACAGTACCTGCCAGTAGCCCAGGGGCCTCACAGTACCTGTCGTAGCCCAGGGGCCTCACAGTACCTGCCAGTAGCCCAGGGGCCTCACAGTACATGTCAGTAGCCCAGGGCCTCACAGTACCTGCCAGTAGCCCAGGGGCCTCACAGTACCTGCCAGTAGCCCAGGGGCCTCACAGTACTGCCAGTAGCCCAGGGGCCTCACAGTACCTGTCAGTAGCCCAGGGGCCTCACAGTACCTGCCAGTAGCCCAGGGGCCTCACAGTACCTGTCAGTAGCCCAGGGCCTCACAGTACCTGCCAGTAGCCCAGGGGCCTCACAGTACCTGCCAGTAGCCCAGGGGCCTCACAGTACCTGTCAGTAGCCCAGGGCCTCACAGTACCTGCCAGTAGCCCAGGGGCCTCACAGTACCTGCCAGTAGCCCAGGGCCTCACAGTACCTGCCAGTAGCCCAAGGGGCCTCACAGTACCTGCCAGTAGTCCAGGGGCCTCACAGTACCTGCCAGTAGCCCAGGGGCCTCACAGTACCTGTCAGTAGCCCAGGGGCCTCACAGTACCTGCCAGTAGTCCAGGGGCCTCACAGTACCTGCCAGTAGCCCAGGGGCCTCACAGTACCTGTCAGTAGCCCAGGGGCCTCACAGTACCTGCCAGTAGCCCAGGGGCCTCACAGTACCTGCCAGTAGCCCAGGGGCCTCAAAGTACCTGTCAGTAGCCCAGGGGCCTCACAGTACCTGTCAGTAGCCCAGGGGCCTCACAGTACCTGCCAGTAGCCCAGGGGCCTCACAGTACCTGTCAGTAGCCCAGGGGCCTCACAGTACCTGCCAGTAGCCCAGGGGCCTCACAGTAACTGCCAGTAGCCCAGGGGCCTCACAGTACCTGTCAGTAGCCCAGGGGCCTCACAGTACCTGTCAGTAGCCCAGGGGCCTCACAGTACCTGCCAGTAGCCCAAGGGCCTCACAGTACCTGCCAATAGCCCAGGGGCCTCACAGTACCTGCCAGTAGCCCAGGGGCCTCACAGTACCTGTCAGTAGCCCAGGGGCCTCACAGTACCTGTCAGTAGCCCAGGGGCCTCACAGTACCTGCCAGTAGCCCAGGGTCCTCACAGTACCTGCCAGTAGCCCAGGGGCCTCACAGTACCTGCCAGTAGCCCAGGGGTCTCACAGTAACTGCCAGTAGCCCAGGGGCCTCACAGTACCTGCCAGTAGCCCAGGGGCCTCACAGTACCTGTCAGTAGCCCAGGGGCCTCACAGTACCTGCCAGTAGCCCAGGGGCCTCACAGTACCTGCCAGTAGCCCAGGGGCCTCACAGTACCTGCCAGTAGCCCAGGGGCCTCACAGTACCTGCCAGTAGCCCAGGGGCCTCACAGTACCTGCCAGTAGCCCAGGGGCCTCACAGTACCTGCCAGTAGCCCAGGGGCCTCACAGTACCTGCCAGTAGCCCAGGGGCCTCACAGTACCTGCCAGTAGCCCAGGGGCCTCACAGTACCTGCCAGTAGCCCAGGGGCCTCACAGTACCTGTCAGTAGCCCAGGGGCTCCAGGGGCCTCACAGTACCTGTCAGCCCAGGGGCCTCACAGTACCTGCCAGTAGCCCAGGGGCCTCACAGTACCTGTCAGTAGCCCAGGGGCCTCACAGTACCTGTCAGTAGCCCAGGGGCCTCACAGTACCTGCCAGTAGCCCAGGGGCCTCACAGTACCTGCCAGTAGCCCAGGGGCCTCACAGTACCTGCCAGTAGCCCAGGGGCCTCACAGTACCTGCCAGTAGCCCAGGGGCCTCACAGTAAATGCCAGTAGCCCAGGGGCCTCACAGTACCTGCCAGTAGCCCAGGGGCCTCACAGTACCTGCCAGTAGCCCAGGGGCCTCACAGTACCTGCCAGTAGCCCAGGAGCCTCACAGTACCTGCCAGTAGCCCAGGGGCCTCACAGTACCTGCCAGTAGCCCAGGGGCCTCACAGTACCTGCCAGTAGCCCAGGGGCCTCACAGTACCTGCCAGTAGCCCAGGGCCTCACAGTACCTGCCAGTAGCCCAGGGGCCTCACAGTACCTGTCAGTAGCCCAGGGGCCTCACAGTACCTGCCAGTAGCCCAGGGCCTCACAGTACCTGTCAGTAGCCCAGGGGCCTCACAGTACCTGCCAGTAGCCCAGGGCCTCACAGTACCTGCCAGTAGCCCAGGGCCTCACAGTACCCGCCAGTAGCCCAGGGGCCTCACAGTACCTGCCAGTAGCCCAGGGGCCTCACAGTACCTGCCAGTAGCCCATGGGCCTCACAGTACCTGCCAGTAGCCCAGGGCCTCACAGTACCTGCCAGTAGCCCAGGGGCCTCACAGTACCTGCCAGTAGCCCAGGGACTCACAGTACCCGCCAGTAGCCCAGGGGCCTCACAGTACCTGCCAGTAGCCCAGGGGCCTCACAGTACCCGCCAGTAGCCCAGGGCCTCACAGTACCTGCCAGTAGCCCAGGGGCCTCACAGTACCTGCCAGTAGCCCAGGGGCCTACACAGTACCTGCCAGTAGCCCAGGGCCTCACAGTACCTGCCAGTAGCCCAGGGGCCTCACAGTACCTGCCAGTAGCCAGGGCCTCACAGTACCTGCCAGTAGCCCAGGAGCCTCACAGTACCTGCCAGTAGCCCAGGGGCCTCACAGTACCTGCCAGTAGCCCAGGGGCCTCACAGTACCTGCCAGTAGCCCAGGAGCCTCACAGTACCTGCCAGTAGCCCAGGGGCCTCACAGTACCCGCCAGTAGCCCAGGGGCCTCACAGTACCCGCCAGTAGCCCAGGGGCCTCACAGTACCCGCCAGTAGCCCAGGGGCCTCACAGTACCCGCCAGTAGCCCAGGGGCCTCACAGTACCTGCCAGTAGCCCAGGAGCCTCACAGTACCTGCCAGTAGCCCAGGGGCCTCACAGTACCTGCCAGTAGCCCAGGGGCCTCACAGTACCCGCCAGTAGCCCAGGGGCCTCACAGTACCCGCCAGTAGCCCAGGGGCCTACAGAGTCTTAATCCAGCTCTGCAAGAAGGTAAGTGACAAAGATAATGTTTCACTTCATACTGTATATGTATTTAGAGAGATCATTACGACCTTCACCTTCAATGATTCAATGTTACTGACATACCTTAATGTCCTTATACAGTGGACCCCCGCATAACGATCACCTCCGAATGCGACCAATTATGTAAGTGTATTTATGTAAGTGCGTTTGTACGTGTATGTTTGGGGGTCTGAAATGGACTAATCTACTTCACAATATTCCTTATGGGAACAAATTCGGTCAGTACTGGCACCTGAACATACTTCTGGAGTGAAAAAATATCGTTAACCGGGGGTCCACTGTATATGGACTTGAGTCCTGGAGATGGGAAGTACAGTGCCTGCACTCTGAAGGATGGGTGTTAATGTTGCAGTTTAAAAACTGTAGTGTAAAGCACCCTTCTGGCAAGACAGTGATGGAGTGAATGATGGTGAAAGTTTTTCTTTTTCGGGCCACCCTGCCTTGTTGGGAATCGGCCAGTGTGTTAATAAAAAAATAAAAATAATAATGTCTATTGCCCTGTAATTTCAAAACAGGCTTAAGCTTGCCCGAAATACTCTGGGGTGTCTGCGTGCATTTTCAAGTGTCACCTGTTTCTTTACAAAGACTGTCATGTCAAAATAAATATTTAAATTTGATTTTTTTTTAATTTGAACCCACCTGACAGTTTGCGATCCCGTGAGTGTCACCATTGCCTCATGCACAGGATACCATAACCTCGCCCCACAGCCTAAAGCTACAAGGTTGCTGCGCACACCGATATTCATTGTGGAGTACCAGTCAGTGCACTCAGGAGGCAGATGTTGCAGCTGTAAGAAAAGAAAAGCTTTATTCAAGGTTTTCATTATAACCACAAAACAGCAACAGACCCAATTCTACTCAGGAAATGCACAGTCATACCTCGCTAATACGGCGGATTAGGTTCCAGACTACTGCTGTAACGCGAATGTTGCCTTAGAGCAAATCAGCCTTTTTTTCACTTGCCAGTACATATAAAAGCATTTATTAATTGTGCAACAGTGCTATCATTTATTAAGTGTGCAATAGTGCCAGGACTAAAAAAACAATGACAAAGTAAAAAAAAAAAAAAAAAACAGAAGTGTCACAGCCAGAAGCAAACTTAAGAGCAAGGTGAACTGCTTTAACCCTTTGACTGTCGCGGCCGTATATATACGTTTTACGAGGTGCCGTGTTTGACGTATATATACTCATAAATTCTAGCGGCTTCAAATCAAGCAGGAGAAAGCTGGTAGGCCCACATGTGAGAGAATGGGTCTGTGTGGTCAGTGTGCACCATATAAAAAAAATCCTGGAGCACGCAGTGCATAATGAGAAAAAAAAAACTCCGACCGTTTTTTTTAATTAAAATGCCGACTTTGTGGTCTATTTTCGTATAGTATTTATGGTTGTATTCTCGTTTTCTTGGTCTCATTTGATAGAATGGAAAACATATTACAGAAATAGAGATGGTTTTGATTGATTTTACTATAAAAAGAACCTAGAAATGGAGCTCAAAGTAGGGGAAATGTTTGATTTTTGCCATTGTTCAAAAGTAAACAAATGATGCCATTGTCCAATAAATGTCCAACTAGCCATTCTAATATGCAGTCATGAATGGGTTGATGTTATTTATACAGTTATTACAGCATTGCAGTAGTCTGCATAATAGTAAGTCTAATATTTTTTGTTTGAATAAAAATTCAAAATAGAAAGCAAGAGTAATATCAGAGGGGCCTGGAGACGTGACTGATGAACAAAGAAAACGTTATTTTAGAGCCTGGAATGTCTGCATTGTTCATTCTGGATCTTATTTTGAAATTGTCATATTTTTTAGTTTTCGTGAAATTGGCCAAATTGCAAATTTCTGACCACATGATTAGGTAGTTGAAATCAGTAAATGGGCAGTTTCTTGTACTCAATCGATAGAAAAAATGAAGTTCTAAAGAAATAGCTATGAGTTTGGGCGACTAGAACAATGGAATTAGCCGAAAATAGGGCTCAAAGTGGGCGAAATCGCCGATTTGTAAACAGCGCCGAGGTCGCTAACTTCGCGAGAGCATAATTCCGCCAGTTTTCCATCAAATTTCGTTTTTTTGGTGTCATTACAATCGGGAAAAGATTCTCTATCATTTCACAAGAAAAAATATTTCTTTTTTTTTTTTTAAATTTTGCGACACCAGGAGACACCTCAGGATTGGGGGTTGCGACAGTCAAGGGGTTAAAGGAATGCCTGTATATAAGTAAGCTTTTTTTATTTTACACAAATCAATTTTACAGGCTAAGAGCTGTTATCTTAACCCAGCTTATTTCAGAACCCCAGGCCTATCTCAGGTATACTTACCCCCAGGATGCAACCCACAACAGGGGTCTACCACCCAGGCATCTACTTACTGCTAGGTGAACAGGGGCAGCAGGTGTAAGGAAACATGTTTAGTGTTTTCACTCTTGCCGGGAATCAAACAACGGACACTTTTATAATGCTCCTCTACATAATGTTTTTTTTTTTTTTGAGGTGATTGAAAAAGCCCATTCTCAATTAAATAATGCATACTATGAAGACTTTGCATGCACTACAGATACTAATCCCGGAAAAAAAATCCCCCCCCAGTACCAACAATACCACCAGTCCGATAACATTCTTCTTTGCAAATATACAGGGTCTAAAGCCAGCAACAAACAACAAAATACCTTTCATCCGTGGACTGCTTGCAGAGGCAAAGGCAATGTTCGCGGCTTTCACTGAGACCCACATAAAGGATCACTTGGACAACGAAATATGGATCCCAGGTTACAACCTATACAGATGTGACAGAGTGAACAGGCAAAAGGAGGGGGTTGGCCTGTACATTGCAGAGTCACTTGTTTGCACAGAACTGCTAAATGCCTCAAATGATGTAGTGGAAGTTTTAGCAGTAAAGGTCGAGAAACCAAAACCTAGTCATTGTGGTAGTCTACAAGCCTCCGGATGCAACATCCCAGCAATTCCAGGAACAGCTGTTAAAAATTGACCACTGTCTGGAAAACCTTCCAGCTCCTGACACCCAACATCTTGCTCCTGGGGGATTTCAACTTAAGGCACCTAAAATGGAGGAATATAGCAAATAATATTGTTGCAGTAATAACACCAGGAGGCAGCTCTGATGAAAACTCACACTCACGCGAGCTTTTAAATCTCTGCACAAAATTCAATTTAAACCAGCAAATAATAGAGCCTACTAGACTGGAGAATACACTAGACCTCATCTTCACTAACAATGATGATCTGATAAGAAATGTCACCACATCAAAAACAATATACTCAGATCACAACATAATTGAGGTTCAGTCATGTATGCGCGGAGCCCCAGACCGACATAATGAGATTAGGGGAGCATTCACCAAATTCAACTTCAATAACAAAAACATAAAGTGGGACCAAGTAAACCAAGTCCTAACCGATATAAGCTGGGAAGATATACTAAGCAACACAGACCCCAACTTATGCCTAGAACTCGGTGGCACTCGATGTATGCACAAGGCTTATTCCTCTAAGAAAAAGGAGGAGTAGATGTAAAACAGAAAGAGACAGGCGCTCCCTTTACAGGCGACGGAAAAGAATAACAGAGCGGCTAAAAGAGGTCAATACAGTGGACCCCCGCATAACGATGGCATCACATAGCGATTAATCCGCATACCGCTTGCTTTAATCGCAAAAATTTTGCCTCACATACCGCTTAAAAACCCGCTTACCGATTTTTGTCCGAGACGCGTCCAATGTGCGGCCTGAGCCACGCTCACATGTTCCGCCGGTGGCATTGTTTACCAGCCAGCCTCCGCGGTAACATCCAAGCATACAATCGGAATATTTCGTATTATTACAGTGTTTTCGGTGCTTTTTCTGGAAAATAAGTGACCATGGGCCCCAAGAAAGCTTCTAGTGCCAACCCTACAGCAATAAGGGTGAGAATTACAATAGAGATGAAGAAAAAGATCATTGATAAGTATGAAAGTGGAGTGCATGTCTCCGAGCTGGCCAGGTTGTATAATAAACCCCAATCAACCATCGCTACTATTGGTGGTACAGCTGCTGCTGCTGCTGCACTGTCAGCTGCTGCTGCTGCTGCACTGTCAGCTGCTGCTGCTGCTGTAGCACCGTTGTTGGTGTGGCTTATTGAGAATACCAAGAAACAATTAACCCCAGAGGATTTGCCACCCAGGATAACCCAAAAAAGTCAGTGTCATCGAAGACTGTCTAACTTATTTCCATTGGGGTCCTTAATCTTGTCTCCCAGGATGCAACCCACACAAGTCGACTAACACCCATGTGAACAGGGAAAAATGCCTGGAACTAGTGCTCATATTGGTGAAATTTAAAGCCAGCAAAGGTTGGTTAGGAGATTTAAGAATCGTAGTGACATACACAGTGTGATAAGGCCTGTTCTGGAAGAAAATGCCAAACAGGACCTACAGTACTCAGGAGGAAAAGGCACTCCCAGGACACAGTGTCTCATCAGTCATTGCTGCATCTTCAATAAAGGTAAGTGTCATTTATTCTTCATTTAGTAGACTAGTACATGCACAATATATACTGTGCATGTACTACTCTACTATTGTGCATGTATCCTTCTCTTTGTGTGTGGGAAAATGTATATTTCATGTGGTAAAAATTTTTTTTTCATACTTTTGGGTGTCTTGCACGGATTAATTTGATTTCCATTATTTCTTATGGGGAAAATTCATTCGCATACCGATTATTTCGCATAACAATTACCCCTCTTGCACGGATTAAAATCGTTATGCGGGGGTCCACTGTATATCTGAAATGCGTAGGGAGACAATGGTCAGAGAAATAGCAAGCATCGAACTTAAGCTAAAAGAATCCTTTAGGAGTCAGGAATCGCGGGAAGAACTAAAAGCCATAAATGAAATCGAAAGAAACCCAAAGTATTTCTTCTCCTATGCCAAATCAAAGTCGAGAACAACGTCCAGTATTGGGCCCCTACTTAAACAAGATGGGTCCTACACAGATGACAGCAAGGAAATGAGTGAGCTACTCAAGTCCCAATATGACTCAGTTTTTAGCAAGCCGCTAACCAGACTGAGAGTCGAAGATCAAAATGAATTTTTTATGAGAGAGCCACAAAATTTGATTAACACAAGCCTATCCGATGTTACCCTGATGCCAAATGACTTTGAACGGGCGAAAAATGACATCCCCATGCACTCTGCCCCGGGCCCAGATTTCAGGGAAACTCTGTGTTCATAAAAGAACTGCAAAAACCCCCCTATCAGGCCTTTTTCCATCCATGGAGAGGGGCGGGGGACACGAGGGTCTCCCACGTTATTTAAAAAAAAAACAGACATACCCCACTCCACAAAGGGGGCGTAAAGCAACAGCAAAAAAACTAAGCCCAATAGCCTAAATCCCATTCATAAAAATCTTTGAAAGGGTCCTAAGAAGCAAGTCAACCCATCTAGAAAACCCTCAGTTACCAACCCGGGGGAACAGGGGTTTAGAAACGGTTTCCCCCTGTCTGCCCTCAACTATTGGATCCTACACAAGCCTAAATGACTAGAAACAAAAGACTGCAGATGTTTTAAATACAGCTTTGAAAAAACCCCTTCGAAAAGCGGACCATGGCGTAATAGGCCAAAATGGTGCTAAAGGAATAACAGGAAAAGGGGGTCGATGGATCTAAAATTTTCCCTCACAAACAGAACAAGAAAATATCGAAACAGAGTAAAGTCCGAGGCAGCTACGGTGAAAAGTCTTTTCCCCACAAGGCACAGTACTCGCCCCCCATTTTGTTCCTCCCCTATATCCACATAGCAAGGATTAGCCACAGCACGTGTCTTTCCCTTT